GCCAGCGCTTGAAGACAGAGCCTGAGTCCAGACTGAGGGACAAAGATCAGCCTGATTAATAAGTACAGCAATGCCAGAGAGCAGTGAGTCACTGAGCCTCTGCTTTTTTCTTTCTTCCCCTTTACTCTATTAATCTCCTCTTTTTGGTCTGTAGGTTCTCTCACGCTCTCGCCTCTCTAATTTCCTCACTCTTCAGCACTTTAACTCTGGCTTTCTTCTGGCCTGCCTTTCTCTGCCCCTCATTTTCAGTCCTTGTCTATGGTCCTCCCTCGCCTCCTACGCTCTGTGCAGCTGCCGAGTACCTCTGTAATGCAGTTCATTACTGTCTATTACTGTGACTCTCAGCTTGACTGCACAGTCACAGGTGTGTTCCCCTACAGACGGCAGCGAACGCCTGCATCCAGCCCCCGACCGCTCTCAGATAGTTGCTCTGATTACAGTCATCGATCAATGTGTGTAGTTGGTTGTGAGCGCGTTCACGTGTGTGATGTCATAGCGCCTCAAAAGCTGATCTCAATATAGTAATGTGCATCAATATATGGCTAATACATGGCCTACTGTTTTTAGTCTGAGACTGCTTGATAAAAATGATGGTTAATTGTGCCACTTAGCCTCAGATAAGGCAAGACACCATGAATAAGGTAAAATTGTTAACTGTGAGACATCACCATATATACTTCCACAGTTGATTAATCACAGTACGTTAAGTCATTTGTTTTTGTATTACAGGTTTTCTGCAATGTTATGTTTGAATATGCAAATGAGGCACACTCTATTTAAATATGCACAAATTTACAAACATTCCCATAACAGAACTCTGAACATTGGATAAAGCCAGGTTCGAAATTCTTGTGTTTTGTTTTGTTTTTTGCTTTGTAAAGATTTTTCTAGAGAGGATTTTTGGATATCTCTTTTTATCGTTAATTTTATTTATTTATTTAGCACCTTACAGGCTACACAGTAGTTCCAAAGTGCTGTACATTACAGTAGAAAGCAAAAGAACAACAGGACAAACATAAAAACATCCATGTGTACTAATGTACTAAAATGCGTACAAATAAGATTTTAAATGATTCTTAAAAACTTTAAGAGTTAAAGAGTTAATTAAAAATTAAGAGTTAAGGAAGCTCTAACATCCAATGGCAGATTATTCCACAGACTTGGACCAGCGACTGAGAAAGCACAATCACCCTTCAGTTTGAGACGTGCACGGGGAATAGTTAGAAGAAACTTGTTTCGATGATGTTAGTATTACGCCTGGACTTTAGGGCTTAATAAGCTCAGCTAAGTATTCTGGCGCCATTCCTTGAAGTGCTTTAAAAACATATATCAGAATCTTATACTATATCCTAAATTGTACTGGTTGCCATCCTAAAAAGGAAAACAGGGGAGTAACATAATCCATTTTCCCAGCATTCATTAACCTTGCTGCAGCATTTTGTACTAGCGGCAAGCAATCAACGTATGTTTGGCAGGTCCCAACATAAAGAGCACTACAATAATCTAGACAGGGAAAAAATATAAGCATGGAGAAATTTTTCCAGGTCACTGGCTGACAGAATTGGTTTCAATTTGGCTAGATTCCTTAAATAGAAGAAGCAATTACAAACCACTGTCTTTATCTATCGATTAAATATGATGGATAGTCAAAAATAACTCCCAAGTTATTTACTTGATCCCATGTACCCCTTCCATGGGCCTAAGTTATCGTTTAATTTAGGCTACAAGCTTTGCGACCAAAAACAATCATTTCTGTTTTGTTTTCATTCAATTGAACAAGGTTTCCACAGCTTTACTTCCTCCAGACACTTAAGAGGTATGGCATTGGAATCCTTACTACTGGGTCTCAACAGCAAGTAGACTTGAGTGTCATCTGCATACAGATGGTAAGAAATACCATCCAGAATCCAGAATCCAGAATCGGTCCGTCTTCGCCGGCCAAAGGTGGTCAGCGCAGACCACAACGATCTGCCCAGGTCTGTCGGTCCTGGGCGAGCCCCATCCAGTTGTGTCCCAGATCTTGTCGTAGCGAGTCGCGCCATCGTGTTGCAGGGCGTCCGCGTGGCCGCTTGATGTCTATCGGCAACCAGACGGTGACTTCGCGCGTCTGAACCCAACTGCAACGACAAAGAAATACCATACATCTTAAAAATCCTTCCCAAAGGGAGCATGTACAATGAAAACAGGACTGGACCCAAAATGGACCCTTGTGAAGGTATTCACTGAAAAGGATCTACATTCCAAATAAGAGGCAAATCATTTTAAGACCATCCCCTGAATACTAACAAACTGCTTTAAACGAGTCAGAAGGATCTGGTGATCGATGGAGTCAATTAAAAGAATTAAAATTAAAAAAAAAATTCTCTAATTAAAAGAAGATCATTAACAACCCTTAAAAGGGCTGATTCTGTGCTGTGTCCACCCCTAAAACCAGACTGAAATTAATTTAAAATATTATTCTTTGTTAAGAAACTGGAGAATTGTTTCAGCACAACTTTTTCAAGTACTCTAGACAAGCCAGGCAATCTATCACACTATAAATAAAAAAATAAATAAAAAACTTTCAACAGCCAGAAATATTTTTAGGAATACATTTATGTATAAACCAGGTGAATGATGAACAAACCCCACAGTAAAAACCTGAAGATATAAATTAAACTCGAGCATTTAGTGTATGTAAGTGCTTCTGAAGTGGAGATTTCTGGCTCAGTGCATGAGGAAAACTCTTCGCTTCGCTGAGGAAGACTCTTTTTGAGAAAACAAACTGATGTGTATTGTAATTAAAATCTACAATTGCCTGTTGTCGCTTTGGATTTGCATATGCTGAATAAATAAATGTAGATGCAAGCAGATGAGGTAAAATAAACACAGTAAATGTGTATTTTGGATATATGCATTCCAGTCTGAAAGGAAACAAGTTATGGAGGCTAAATAGACCAAGCTCTTGAAATTGACCAGTGCATGAAAAAAACAATACTTTTGCCTCTAGTCTTTTGCCATAAGCAGGGAAATGTTTAGATAGCACCACAAAGACAAATCAAAATTTGTCACATAAGAAAGGAATATGAATGGCGTACATATTGTATAAACTTGGATAGAAGTATTTAAAAATGACATAGCTTCCATGATTGAAAGAACACGGGAGTCTTTCAGTCATTAATGCCCCATTAAGAATAGCAACTGCAGCAAATGATTTATAGAGGTAATATGTCTAATCTGTTGTTCCGTAAATCCCCATGTGGTCTGTCAGTTGCTCTTAATGCAGTTCACCCTTGAACTAGATGGACCATTTTAATGTCTCTGTGATGGGATACTGATCTCCCATGTGCATTGTTTCAAAGCTTTCTTCAGTTAAATGCACAAAGCATCTTACCCATATGAGATATGAGTAAAATGTATATTGTCGTTTCCCCAATGAACAACTGAATACAGAATGAATAGACAAAATGAATAAACTAGTGAGAGTGTGAAAAGTGTGTTTTAAGAGTTTATTATTTAGAGGCATTATTTTTTCCTAAAATGGTTGTGTGCATTCAAACGTGTGCTTCGAGCATGAGACCAGAGTAGCTTGTGGGTGTATGGATGCAAACAGAAAGTAGTCAAACCAGCAGGCACAGAGAGATTATGTAAATACATCTTCATGAGCGTTCAGCTTGTTTCTCAAATGCACAGCGCTTTGTCTGCTCATTTGTTGCTCACTGGATGATGGATCCGAGAAACACGGGAAGTGCCATTTCTTATAGTGCCTCTCAGGGCATCACTGTTCAGATCAGAGCTACTTTTGGGAGAGGACGGTTATCGTTCTGGGTCTCAAGGGGGAAGTACTTAACAGCCACTTAGATGATTCATCTCGTTGAATGCTCTGAAATTAGACGTGTAGATTAGCAACATATTTTCAGCTTATTGTTAAAGTCTCTTTCTGCATGGCTGCACATCTTCAGAGTAAAAAAAAACAAAACAGGTAAAATCTTATTAAAAGCTAGCCATAGTAGTTGACTCAAACTGTATGCGGTAATGGGCCCTGCTGTTCAGCTTCTTTTGTGAGGCCCCGGGAAATAGTCCTATGTAATCCCTGTCTGCATGCATTTTCCCTTCATGAATGTGCATTTTAGCTGTCTAAATGTATCATAAAGGCTGTTAAAGGGAAAAACTTGAAGCTGAGAATGCTTAAGCCACTGTCCCCGGTGGCACAAGCCGAGCAATAAAAGTGCTATTACTGCCATAAACATCTGATTGCTTCCACAAATGCAGTCGATTATGTAGCAGCGAAAGGACCTCGATTCCGCTGAGATATTGATAGCATCAATCACACAGCGAGTCGATAGGTTGACTTTACTCAGCTGTCACGGCAGATGCAAATCTCATAACCGGCCTTTCATTGCGATTATGTAAAAAAAAGTATTTTAGTTTCTTTGCTGAGCAACTCTCCTCATGCATCTTGATTAATGTTGTTGGCTGCTTGTCAAGAAAGATGGACGAACGCATTAGTCGTGCTTTTGCGCCAATATGAACATCCTCTCCATCCTTCATCGTTGAGATTAGGGGGCTGGGGAACTGTTACCGTTGTTTATTTGTTTTTGAAGTGAGCCCACAGCTCTTGAGGCGGTTAAATCACAGGCGCGGTAACAGGTAGTTCGCCCTGACTCTGCCTTGCTGAAATATTTAGCTGTGCTCCAGGAACCAGCGGTAAATCTCGCTGCCAGTTGCAATTGTGCTCCCGTCATGGCTGTTTACCTCACAAAAGGAGAATGAGTATGAGGCAGAACACAATTACTTCTGCAATAAGATTTTCCCTTGCATCATGAGAGTTCATAGATAGCGAAGCCCATTGGGAAAGAAATGGAATTAAAAACTTGACTTGTGAGAACAAATGGCTGTTATTAAAGGAATTCATGAAGCAGTTGGAAATAATAAGATGCTAATTGCTTAAGTTTATTCAGTGTTCTGTTTGATCTTTGCCTGCATACCCTTTATCAACTCCTCCCTATATGTTCCTGCAGGCTCCATTGAGGCTTGCTTAAGTCACCTGCTGAAGCGAAGAGCGGCCGGATTCCTCCGCAGCGATAAGATCGCCGCCCTCTTCACCAAGATCGGCAAGGTGAACACCACGGCGAGTGAGATCTGTCGCAAGGTTCAAGAACAGCTACAACAGCAGGCCGAAATCACCAGGTCTGACTTCTTGATGTGCGCAAACTATGCCCAATCTAATTGAAATTTTATTAATCTTTTCATTTAATTAAACTCTGCCTCTGAAACAATTTTCTTTTCAGCTGATATCACCTTGGCCATGTGGGCTATTGGTTAATCATAGTATTCTGTCCTCTGCATGCGTGTGCGTTGGGCATGCATATACAGATAGTTAAACACTATATAACGTGATGAAGAGGCTTCAATGACCACTCAGAGGATGTCAATTATCTTCTTTACTTGAGTGCAATCATGTTGTTTCTCTCTCAATGTTACATTATTTTGTGAAACTGAAAAGAAATACAAAAATGCTTATTTAAATATAAATAACCAAAATACAATTACTACTTACACAATATTTACATTAACATCGTTAAATCACAGTAATTGTTACGAGATCACATGGCGATCTTTTGAAATGTCCGTACAAAGCACGTGGAACCGCTAACGTGCGTCTAATATACCCATCTTAATAAGATACAGACACAAAGTATATAACATTACAATTATATGAAATAAACTTACAAGCAAAGCTTCTCTGGGGCTTTACACAACGACACTGGAATCCGGAGTAAACAGCACGCGATTTCTCTGCTGCGCAGAACTGGAAAATGGCTACTGAGGTTTGCGTGATTGTCGCTATGAAGCATAACAAATAAAGTTTTCTCAATGGTAGTTTAACTAAAACTATAGCAAACAGCGCCATCTACTGGGGAAGAATGGCTAACTTTAGACATGACATAATACTCCCCGTCTGGAATTAAGCATAATGCCACTCTTGAATTCTCAACAAGTGAATACGTATTCACAGGGTAACTTAACACATAAGCAAAATAACCTCTGTAATAGGCCTTAAGAACGTCTTAGCAGTACCACTCTTAGTGACTTTCAGTTCCAGTTTTCTGACTCTGCCATCTGAACCAGAGATGGCTTTGGTGACCAGAGCCATTGGCCATTCGTTCCTTTTTACCTGATCATCTTTCATGAGGACCAGGTCTCCTTCTTTGATATTAGGCTTGTTGTCTTGCCATTTCTTGCGCAATTGAAGGGATGCAAGGTATTCTCGCCTCCACCTTTCCCAGAATATGCTTGCAAGATACTGCACTCTTTTCCACTGTTTTCGATACAGATCAGCACCTTCAAAAGGTCCTGGAGGTGTGTATGGGGTACACACCTTTTGGGTGAGGATCATTGCTGGAGTGAGGAGAAAGGGCGACTCGGGGTCAGTTGAAATGGATACGAGAGGTCTTGCATTGATCACAGCACACACTTCAGCCATTAGAGTTGACAGCATTTCATGAGTCAGATGTGAGGAGCTGATTTGAGGAAGCATGGAGTCTAAGATCCGCCTTGAAAGTCCGATCATCCTCTCCCATGCTCCTCCCATGTGAGATGAATGAGGTGGGTTAAAGATCCATTTCCAACCCTCTTCACTGAGGTATTTGGTCACACTTGAATCTTTGGTCGAAACCACAAGCGCATTCAGCTCTCTGCATGCTCCTTGGAAATTAGTACCACAGTCGGATCTTATGATCTTTGCTGGGCCTCGTATGGCGAAGAAGCGGCGAAGTGCATTAATGAAACTTGATGTTTCCATTGACTCTATCAGTTCGATATGAATGGCTCGCACGGATAAACATGTGAATATTACTGCCCATCTTTTACTGTAGGCCTGGCCTCCCCGGGTACGACGAGCTGATACATTCCAAGGGCCAAACACGTCCAAGCCGACATTAGTAAAGGGTGGTTCTGTGCTGATGCGGTCAGAAGGGAGATCTGCCATTTTTTGTTCAGCTGTTTTACCTCTCTGTTTGCAGCAAGTGACACACTTGCGGAGGACACCGTTGATCTGTCTCTTTGCTCCAACTATCCAGAATCCTGCAGTGCGGATTGCTCCTTCTGTAAATATTCGCCCTTGATGATTTACTTTCTCATGGTGATGATTTGTTAGGAGGGTTGCTATGTAACTATGGCCAGGTATGATGAGAGGGTGTTTCTCTCTGCTGAGGAGTGTGGACTGTTCTAGTCTGCCTCCAATTCTTAGGAGTCCGTCCTCCAGGACAGGGTTAAGCCTCTTGAGAGAACTCTGCTTGGAAATGTCTCTCTCATTCTCCAGACAAGTGATTTCTGCTTTATAAGCCTCTCGTTGTGCACACCTGATGATGACGTTTTCAGCTTGAGTCAGCAACTCGGGCATGTACGAACTTTTGCAGTGGTGCCAGCCGTAACACGACTTTTCTTTGTTTCTGAAAGACTGGGCGATGTGAATAAGAGAAGCTACAGCTCTTCTTAAGGATCTCCAAGATGAAAATCTTTCAAAGCGGTGAGAACTAAGACCAGAAGTATGGTTTAAGCAGGTGGTGACGTGTGCACGCACTTCCACGTCTGTATCTGGATCGATAAGATTATAAGGAGCTTCATTCACAGGGGTGGGTGCAGGATGCTGCAGAAATGTAGGACCGGTGAGCCAGTTTGTTTCAGTTAGACGGCATGCAGGAACTGGTCTAGTAGCAACATCAGCAGGGTTTTGTGAGGTTGGAATGTAAAGCCACTGTTCTGGGTGAGTGAAATTTCGAATTCTTTGAACTCTGTTACTGACGTACACGTAAAAGCGTCGGGTCTCATTGCAGATATACCCCAATACAACTTTGCTGTCTGTATAAAACAGTAGGGTGTCTGGTTTAATGTCTAGTTCCTGGACGATTTGTTCAGCTATTTCGACTGCAAGGACGGCCGCGCACAGTTCAAGTCTGGGAACCGTATGTCCAGTCTGTGGGGCTAGCTTGGCTTTTCCCATAATGAATCCAACTTGACACATTCCATCATGATCCGTTATTTTCAAGTATGCGACAGCGGATATGTTCTGAATGGATGCGTCTGAGAAGATGTGAATCTCCTTTTTTACTGATTGGGAAATGGACATTACAGTGTAAGCTCTGGGAATTTTGAGCTGCTCTAAGTCCTGCAACGAGTCTTTCCAGCGGTTCCATTCCGTTTCCTTTTCAGCTGTGAGGGGGCAATCCCAGTCCGACTTCCCATTTGAGAGTTCACGGAGTAGCAGTTTCCCTTGGATTGTGATTGGCGCTACCATGCCGAGAGGGTCAAACAAGCTGTTTACAGTCGCCAGGACTCCTCTGCGTGTGAATGGCTGGTCACTGAGGTCGACTTGGAATGTAAACGTATCCTTCTGAAGGTCCCAACTCAAGCCAAGACTGCGCTGTAAAGGGGGCGAGTCAGTGTCTAGATTCAAATGTTTTAAGTCTTTGGCATAGTCGGCTGGAGAGAATGCGTGCATCACAGCTGGGCTATTGGATGCTATTTTGTGGAGTCTTAAGTTAGAGATAGCGAGCATGTCTTTGGTAGCCTTAAGCAAACTGATAGCTTCGTTGATGGATGGAAATGACTTGAGTCCGTCATCAACATAGAAATCTCTTTCAATGAAATGTCTCGCATCAGCACCGAACTCCGCTTCCGCATACAAGGCAGCACGTCTAAGGCCATAAATGGCAACGGCTGGGGAGGGGCTGTTGCCGAAGACGTGGACTTTCATGCGGTATTCTACCATGCTTTGGGAGATGTCGTTGTTCTTGAACCACAGAAAGCGGAGGAAGTTCCTATGATCCTCTCTGACGATGAAACTGTGGAACATTTGCTCTATGTCCGCAGTGATGGCTATTGGCTCGTGCCTAAATCGTAGTAGGACTCCTAGCAGGCTGTTGTTTAAATCCGGGCCTGTTAGCAGCACGTCGTTCAAAGACACGCCATGGAACTGGGCGCTGGAGTCGAACACCACCCGAATTTGACCAGGCTTGCGTGGATGATACACACCGAAGGAGGGCAAGTACCAGCACTCCTCCCCTGGGTTCACAGGAGGAGCTGGCTCGGCATGATTGTTATCAAAGACCTTCTGCATAAACTCTACGAAGTGTTCTCTCATCTCAGGTTTCTTACGTAGTGTGCGACAGAGAGAGTTCAAACGGCTCAGGGCTTGCTCTCGGTTGTTTGGAAGCCGTTGTCTACGTGCACGAAAGGGAAGGGGTGCTACCCAGCTGTTAGCGTCATCCATGAACATTTCTTTGTCCATTAACTGAATGAACTGCCTATCCTCAATTGAAGGGGCTATTTTTTCATCATCCTCCGTTCTTTCAAAGACTGAGGTGGCCGGAGGGCTGGGAGCAAATTGGGGCAGGTGAGAGGCTTTAACACTTGGCTGTGCAGTTAATTTCTCCTTGAGGTAGAGTTTATTGGGACATGGACGAAAGTAAGATGGACGCCCGTCTTCTAGAATGTTTGTGCGGTAAACACTAACAGTTGAAGGCTTGTGAGCAGCACCAAGACACACCTCACCAACCACAACCCAGCCTAGGTCCAGTCTTTGAGCATAGGGAGCATTTTGTGGCCCATTGCGTTGCTCTCTTACCTTGTGGACTTGGAGGATATCACGTCCAAGAAGGAGAAGTATTTGAGCATTTGGATCTAGAGGAGGGATGAGATGAGCAATAGATTTGAGATGTGAGTGGTGTTTTGCTACTTCAGGAGTGGGTATCTCTGACCTGTCTTCGGGCATGTAGTCGCACTCAATGAGCGTAGGCAGTGGGACTGAAAGACTGCCATCTAGAGGATGTGCGATGAAGTCCATAGCCCGCCTCCCAGACATTTCTGTGACTCCGGCGCATGTGCGCAGAGTGTAGGGAAATTCTTTGCTCTTGAGATTGAAGAAGTCAAAAAATTCAGCTCTGGCAAGTGAGCGATTACTTTGATCGTCAAGAATAGCATAGACGTTCAGTGACTTGTCTGGCTTTCCCTTAGGGTGAACTTTGATGAGACAGATTTTCGAACAGGACTGTGAACTATTAGTATCCCCACAGACCTCTGTGCATTTAGAGTTAATGAAAGGGTTTGCACTTTCTCTCTCCCCGCCATGCTCTGTGTTGGGTGCTTTTAGTATCCATGGAGCTGGTCCAGGATGAAGAGCTGTGACA